TTAATTTACTCTCTAATTACTTGTTTTAAACGGTTAGGAGTTTTGTTTTTGTTTTTTGTTGTTGAACACAAAAGAAGATATTTTGAAGAAAAACCTGTAACCACTGACTTCCATAGTAGGAAAAACAAATGCTATGGTAATTAATGGTTACTGGTTTTCTACATTCTTCAAAAAGTCTTCTTTTGCGTTTAACAGAAGAAACAAACTCATTTAATTTGGCCTCTAATTACTAGTTTTTAAACCTTCAGGAGTTTGTTTTATCTGTTGAACCCAAAAGGAGATACTTTGAAAAATGTTGAAAACCGGTAACCATTGACTTACATTTACTTTGTTTTTCCTAGTATTGAAGACAACAATTACAGGGTTTTCTTAAAAATATATTCTTTTGTGTTTAACAGAAGAAAGGAAATAAAAAACAACTGATCTTAAAAAAAGGCTGTTGTGACCACTTTGGTTGATGTTTTACATTTGTGTTAATTATTAAAAATTATTAGGAATAGTTCACCCTAAAAATGATTGTTTACTTCTTTCAAACTTTTAGGAGTTTGGTTCTTCTGTTAAACACAAAAGGAGATATTTTGAAGAAGAACCTGTAACCACTGACTTCCATAGTAGGAAAAACAAATATCATGTTAGTCAATGTTTACCGGTTTCCGACATTCTTCAAAACATCTCCTTTTGTGTTTAACAGACGAAATGACTCATTTTACTGTCCAATCACTTGTTTTTAAACCTTCAGGAATTAGTTTCTTCTGTTATTTGGAGAGGAGATATTTTTTAAAAGGAGATATTTTGAAGAATGTTGGAAACCGGTAACCATTGACTCACATTGACTTTGTTTTTATAAGATGAAAGTCAATGACTACAGGGTTTCCTTCAAAATATCTTCTTTTATGTCCAAGAAACAACTTTTGTTATCACAGAATAGAGACGCAATGTAATTAAAAAACAATGACCATTGAAAATAGACAAGCATACAAGATATTAAACCCCTGTATTTATTGAAGGTAAGAAAAAACTATTTGTAACTTGTGTAAAAATATTTGACTATATTTTAAGTCATATTTAATTAAAAATATACATTGTAATAAAATATTAGAGCGCATTTTTATTCATGAATTAGTTTAATAATGTTTAAAAAAAAGTCTTCTGGAGAAATTTTGGAATATTTGCCATTGATTTAAATTAAAAGGTCTTAAATTATTTTTTAACTGTAATGCTTTTTTAAATATAATGCTTCTGTATTTAAGAAACTGTTATGATTGTTTATTATATATAGAATATTTATTAGCAATGTTGCCATCAATATAGCCAATAAATATAGCCAAGAAAGAAAGAAAGAAAGAAAGAAAGAAAGAAAGAAAGAAAGAAAGAAAGAAAGAAACAACAGCATGAAGAAACACTTGAGGGTGAGTGAAAGTTCATTTTAGGGTGAACTATCCCTTTAAGAGACCGCTTAAGATTTAGCTTCTCTTCATTTAATGGCTTTAAAAGAAAACGCTTATTATTTAGAGCTTTTTAAGTCAAGAGCAAAACAAATGTGCAGTGTGTTCATGTTTATTTCAGGAAACGCAACCTCTGTGTTTATCTTCAGAAGAGAAAACCATTTTTAGTGTACCATCTCTGATCGAGCGAGTCAGGTTAATTGAAAGTGTTCAGTTTGTCCTGGGGTCATCATCACCGTCATCATCGAGTATTCGTCACACACAGACCTGGTTTACTTGTGGTGTTTAGCTCAGTGTCAGATGATCTGATCAGCACAGGACAGCACACAGAGATCAGACTGTAGATTTGGCAGGAGAACAGCGGCTCTCATGGATGTTCTCTAAGCACATTCTGAGGACACCATTCCTGGAGTACAAAACGTTCTGATTACCAGCTGACACTGAGCTAAATGATAGCTGCAAACTGTAGTCGACACATTCGAAGTGGATTAAAAAAAAAAATGTGGGGGAAATTGATTTGAAAGTACTGCATTACAATATTGAGCTGCTTCCCAAATAAACTAACAAGCTGCTTTACTTACTTTTTATGCTAAGTAATGCGTTCTATTACTTTCGAGTTACTCTTTCATACCTGCCTGAGGCTTGAACTCTTTCAGCATTTGCAGGATGTTTTTCTTTTTTGAAATGGAGGAGTTCTGCATTTAACAACACTATAAATAACGAGAATACTGAAATGTACGGCTCTGCCATCTTGGTTTCTGTCTGTTCCCGCGGGGAGCTCATTTTCCTGTTGAGCGTGATTCAACGTGATTACAATAAAAATAGTGTGCTGAATTAAAAGCGTATTAATTAATCTAAAAATTTACTCAAATATATATATATATATATAATTTTTTTTTTTAAGTAATGCGCTACTTTACTCGTTACTTAAAAAAATATAATATTATTATATAATTTGCTTTACTAATGTGTTACCCCCAACACTGGACAAGAATAGTTTTAGGAGGAAAGGTGTGTGTGCGTGTGTGCGTGCCTGCAAGCGTATTAAACTAAATGATTAGCCATGCTGTTACATTTGAAATCTTGTTTAACTGAACAAGGAAATTAATTTCATTATTATTATTATAGTTGTTAATATGAAAAGTTTTTTTTGGCGATATGTGGTTTTATTTATTTATTTTAATTGTTTAAATATTTTTTTTATATCATTAGCCCCCTAAGATATTTTTGGCTGAACACTAGTATTTTTCAAAACAGTGTAAATAGAGTAAAATATTATGTATTTAAAAAAAAATAAAAAATTAAATTAATGGATGGAAATGTTGAAGAATTCTCTATTAAAAAGCACTTTGGAAATATTTGATTAATAATAAAAAAAATAAAAATTTACCAAGAGTAATAATTTAACTTAATGTCTTACTAATTACTCATTTGAATTGTGTATATATATTTACTGTCATCATGGCAAAGATAAAATAAATCAGTTATTAGAAATAAGTTATTAAAAATATTATGATTAGAAATGTGTTGAAGAAATCTTCTCTGTTAAAAAGAAATTGGGGAAAAATAAACAGGAAGTTATAATTCTGACTTCAACTGTTCATATGTATATATATTTACTATATTTATATATGCACTTACAATATCGGGCAAAAGTTTGGGGTCAGTTTTTTATAGTAAATTATTAAACATAATTATAATATTATAATAAATGAAATTCTGTTCATCAAGGCAGCGTTTATTAAATGAAAAAAAATTTTAAATTGTTAAATATTATATATTTATTACTTATTGTATGTAGTTTCAAATAAAATTAATTCTCCAATCATTATTTGCTTTTATTACTATTACCATTAATAATAATAATAATAATAATAAATATTAGAGTGATTTCTGAAGGATCATTTGACTCAAGACTGGAGTAATGAAGCTGAAAAATAATCTTTAAAATAACTGGAATAAATGACTAAATTAAATGATAAACTACTGTTGAAGAGTAATTTTAAAGTGCAATAACATAATTTTTAATTAAATAAATGCAGCTTTGGTAAGCAGGAGAAGCTTATTTTAAAATCCTTCTGACCACAAACTTTTGACCAGTTGTGTGTGTGTGTGTCTGTCTGTCTGTCTGTCTACAGTTGAAGTCAGAATTATTAGCCCGCGTTTATTTTAACCCTAATTTCTGTTTAATCTAGAGAAGATTTCTTCAACACATTTCTAATCATAATAGTTTTAATAACTCATCTCTAATAACTGATTTATTTTATCTTTGTCATGATGACAGTAAATAATATTAGACTAGATATTCTTCAAGACACTTCTATACAGCTTAAAGTGACATTTAAAGGCTTCACTAGGTTAATTAGGCAGGTTAGGGTAATTAGGTAAGTTATTGTATAGCGGTGGTTTGTTCTGTAGACTATTGAAAAAAATTGCTTTAAAGGGGCTAATAATATTGACCTTAAAATGGTGTTTAAAAATTTAAAAACTGCTTTTATTCTAGCAGAAATAAAACAAATAAGACTATATATTATCATACTATAAATAAGACTGGATATTATCAGACATACAGTAAAATAGCCTTGCTCTGTTAAACATCATTTGGGAAATATAAAAAAAAAATTTAAGGGGGGTTTAAACAATTTTTATCTACATAAAAGCACTTTTTTTTTTTTTCAATCCTGTCCTGATGACCAGAATAATCCTGTTTTTCCAGTTTTCTGCTTTTGATCATGTGGACCAAACATATGAAATAACACAAGCTACATTAAACAGACACTGTTGTCCAGCATTAATGAAGTGAAGCGTGTGTGTTTTCATCTCTCAGGGCTGTGGGCTGCATCTTCGCCGAGCTTCTGGCTCATAAACCCCTGCTGCCGGGAGCCTCAGAGATCCAGCAGCTGGATCTGATCGTGCAGCTGTTGGGAACGCCGAATGAGAGCATCTGGCCGGTACTGAGTTCTGACAAAGACTGACAATATGTGTGTGTGTGTGTGTGTGTGTGTGTGTGTGTGTGTGTGTGTGTGTGGCAGGCTGTAATGCTCTGTGTGTTTCAGGGTTTCTCGCGTCTGCCGCTGGTGGGTCAGTACAGTCTGAGGAAACAGCCCTACAACAACCTGAAGAACAAGTTCACCTGGTTATCAGAGGCTGGTCTGAGACTCCTCAACCTGCTGTTCATGTACAACCCGCAGCGCAGGTGCTCCTCACTCACACATCTCCATGCACTTGCTCCAAATCCTCACTAATGGATTGTTTTTAGTCATGTGACCCGTACAGAAGCTGGCGGGACAAAAAAAAAAAAACGAGCCGTAATGGCAGCTGCACTGAGATCTCAATAAAACACAGCACAATCTGCTCTTATTCTGTCTCAAGCTACAAAGATTTGGATCTCAAATCGACAGAATAAACCCGAGATAAGATCAGAAGCTAAATTGTGGGCACTTGCGATCCATTTACTGACGTATGTCTGTAACAAAATGTAGCTGTAAAACACACACGGGTTGTTTTAACAGTGCTCTGTTTCTTCCAGAGCCACGGCCATCGACTGTCTAGAAAGTTCCTACTTCAAGGAGAAGCCGCTGCGTAAGTCTAGCCTTCAGACACACACACACACACACACACACATACACACACACACGCACGTTTGTTTGCTCTTAAGCAGGTTTAATGTGATGTTTTGTGTGTTTCAGCTTGTGAACCGGAGCTGATGCCCACATTTCCACATCACAGGAACAAACGCAGCGCATCTGAGACTGAACACCAGACCAAGAGGAGCAAAGTATGACACATGATGCTGTACAGATTAGTCAATATGAGGCTTGGAAAGAAAAATTGATATTCACCCAAACCTGAACATTTTGTCATCAAATACTCACACTTGTCACAAACCTCCTTTTTTTCTGTTGAACACAAAAGAAGATATTTCAAAGATGTTGGAAACCTGTAACCATGAAATACATTGTATTTCATACAATAGAAGTCAATGGTTACAGGTTTACAACATTCTTCAAAATGTACTCTCCGTCAAGCGTTTGCCAGTTTCTTTATGCCGCTAAACACAAAAGAAGATATTTGGAAGAATGTTTGAAACCTGTAACCATTGACTTCCATTGTATGAAATACAATAGAAATCAGTGGTTACAGGTTTCCAGCATTCTTCTGAATATACTCTCCGTCAAGTGTTTTACGAAATACAATGGAAGTCAATGGTTACAGGTTTCCAACATTCTTCTGAATATACTCTCCGTCAAATGTTGGCTAGTTTCTTTACGCTGTTAAACACAAAAGAAGATACTTTGAAGAATGTTGGAAACCTGTAAGCATGAAATACAAAGGAAGTCAATGGTTACAGGTTTCTAACATTCTTCAAAATATCTTCTCGTGTTCAACAGAATAAAGAAACTGGCAAACACTTGACGGAGAGTACATTTTGAAGAATGTTGGAAACCTGTAACCAATAACTTCAATTGTATTTCAAAATGTACTCTGTCAAGTGTTTGCCAGTTTCTTTACGCTGTTAAACACAAAAGAATATATTTGAACGAATGTTTGAAACCTGTAAGCCTGAAATACAAAGGAAGTCAATGGTTACAGGTTTCCAACATTTTTCAAAATATCTTCTCTTGTCTTCAACAGAATAAAGAAACTGGCAAACTTGGAGAGTACATTTTAAAGAATGTCAGAAACCTGTAACCAATGACTTCCATTACGTGAAATACATTGAAAGTCAATGGTTACAGGTTTCCAACATTCTTCAAAATGTACTCTCCATCAAGCCAGTTTGCCAGTTTCTTTATTCTGTTGAACACAAGAGAAGATATTTTGAAGAATGTTGGAAACCTGTAACTACTGACTTCTATTGTATTTCAAAATGTATTCTGTCAAGCGTTTGCCAGTTTCTTTACGCTGCTAAACACAAAAGAAGATATTTGAAAGAATGTTTGAAACCTGTAACCATTGACTTCCATAGTATGAAATACAATAGAAGTCAATGGTTACAGGTTTCCAACATTCTTCTAAATATACTGTCAAATGTTTGCTAGTTTCTTTACGCTGTTAAACACAAAAGAAGATATTTTGAAGAATGCTGGAAACCTGTAAACATTGACTTCCAATCAGTGGTTACAGATTTCCAACATTCTTCAAAATATCTTCTTTTATGTTCAACAGTAAAGAAACAGATGAAGTATTTGGGTGAACTGTGCTGTTAATAATGCAAGATATAATAGTTAGGCTAACTTTTTGTACATACAGTCAGATTGAACTTGTATTGCTTCAGCTTATTACACCAAAACTACATTCCTTTAATGAAATAAAGTATTTAAAGCTGATCCAATGTATTTTTTAGCACTGATACATGTGTGATATTTAACAAATGTTTCTATTCATTAACATGAAATGCCATTGGGTTGATTAAATGCTGTATTATCTTTTTATTTCTGTGAATTTTAAAGGAAATTCTGTGTTGATGATTGGGCTTTGAATACGTGTTTAATAGTACTGATGTAAACAAAAAGCAATGAGAGATATTGATGATTTCAGAATGATTCTTTCCAGTGAGCAACAACAAATAATCATTCTGTGAAACATTAGTTGCCACATAAGAGTCTGTTTACTCACAAAGTTGTTGTTTGGTTGAATTCTCCTTTAATTGAACATCGACGTCACGGCATTCTCCATTTTTAAGAAACTTTTTATCTTTCTCAATTGGAAAATCAGCTTTTGTCCAGAAACACAGACGGCATGTTCAGAATAAACGATCCTTCGGTTAAATCACACCGCTAATAAACCAGAGCTATTGTTAGAAGGCATGTTTAGTTAAGCAGAAACACAGATCGCTTTAAAAGTCTTTTGTTCATCAGTTCAGGAGGTTTTCTGAAAGGCAGCTACTGCTCTATAATACACTTCATTATGTCTGCTCCATCAGGAAATGTTGACGGACGAGTGAAATGTTTGACTTCAGAATCAGCAGGGCGAGAACATGAACATTTCACACTGCAATTATGAAACTAATTGACATTTCTGTCTGCAGAGATAAAAATCATCAGCATAAATGACAGGCTATTTTGTGTGCAAATATTTCTCTGTTAATTCTGGGGTAAATGTAGAGGAGTTTGTTTCCACAACAGAATTCAAATATTTATAAACGCATTATTCTGTCAGAGTTGCTTACTAAAAGACAAAAGAAGCATTTATTTAAGCTTTGTATGTCACATTGTGAATTAAAAGGCTAGTGTGAAATATTTCAATTTGACTTACAAGACAGTCGCAACTCTGACAAAAAAGTTTACATATAAATTGCACAATATCAGCTTAAATATTGAGGAGAAAGGTCAAAATTGTAAATATATTGAAATACAATTGTGAGTGAAGAATTGCACAATATTAACTCAAAACTGCAAGGAAAAAGTGTCTGATTTGTGAGATGCCTTTTAAAGTGCTCAATTTGACTCGCTATTGTGAGGGGGAATGAAAGATAATTGGCCGTAATCTCTTAATATAGTTTTTTTTTTCTCTCGATGTTTTCCTCAGATTATCTTAACCAAAAATAAATAGTAGTAATGAATTGCAGTTTGAAGAAAAAAGATGCAGTTACAAAAAAAATAATAATAAAAATCTTGAAATTAAGTCAAAATGCAAAATACTATTTAAATGAGCTATTTTTGGCCCCCCAAAAATAAACGTTGAGCGGAAATCATCAAAATTGTAAAATATTGCAAGGAAATTAATTTTAGAAAAGCGTAAAATTGCAAAGTAACGACTTAATTTGGAATTAAAATAAACAGTTTATATTGTGCATTTCTTTACTATAAAGAAAAATAAAGTCTCAATTGTGACGGACCTTATAAATTGATAAATTTTATTTAGAATTTTAAAAAATTCTCAAAATGATATTTTTTTTTAATAATATTTTTATCTCAACCAGAAAATAGTTGGGAGAAATTTGGCAATTACAATTATTTTTGTCAATTGCACTTTTTTTTTATTGCATCGCAATTTAATATTGTTAAAAAAATCTGAAAAACTAAATCAAAAAGTGGAAAATACTATTTAAATGAGCTTATTTTGGCCAAAAAAGTTGACAATATGAAGATAAAGATTAAGAGGAAATCTTAAAAATTGTGAAATATTGTAAAAAATAAAATAAAAAAGCGCAAAATTACAAAGTAATGATTCGAGGATTTGAGTTTATATTGTAAATTTCTTTACTGTAAAGAAAAACAGTGAATTTTGAAAGACCTTATAAATACCTTAATAAATTACTATACATTTGATTTAGAGTTGAGAAAAATAAAAAATAAAAAAGTAAAATTGTAAACAAAATTTGACGTCGTCTCTTAGAATGACTTTTTCTCCATTTTTATCTCAACCAGAAAATAAATAGTTGGGAGGGAAAAAAATGTCAATTGCAATAAAAAAAAAACTCAATTAGATATTGTATCACTATTACATAGATATTAATATTAAAAAGTGGGAAAAACAGAATCAAAAAGAGTAAAATACTATTTAAATTTGCTCATTTTGGCCAGAAAAAAAGTTGCACAAAACAGAGATAAATATTAAGAGGAAACCATCAAAATTGCAAAATATTGTAAGAAAATGAACCAAAGAAAAAGTAAATCGCAAAGTAAAAAAATGTATTATTAGGGAAAAAAGTTGCAGTACTGACTAAAAAAGTCACAAATTGCACAAACAGCGGGAAATAAATTTGATTCAAACTCAATATTTTCTGCAATTCTGAGATTTCGATTTTGACTTTTTTGACGTAAGGCTTTCAAAATTACATATATTTTCTTCTCAAAATTATGAGTTTGTGTCTTAATTTAGGAAATAAATCAAATGATGTCAGAATTGCAATTTTGATGGGAAAAGAACGTAACTCTACGATCATCTCAGTTGTTTCTTTTTCCCCTCTGAGCCGCTACATATAAAACAACCCTAAACAATAAACAAAGGATGATTAGTATTAGTCGTTCTGTGGTGGAAACAGACCTCCAGAAAACAAAAAATGTTTGTGAGCTTCACGTTCACAGTTAAAGTGCTGAAATACTGATCTGGACACAGTTAATAATGACGCTCGACAACAATCCAACACTCTGAAAATAAATTAAAATAAATACTCATCTGTGACGGAGCTGAACAGAGGGACGCCTCGTCTAGTTGGATGATTTCAACACAATTTACAGCAAGCTTCATGCTCTGGTCTGTCCAGTGCTTCACCGTTCAGCTGATGTGTGTGTGTGTGTGTGTGTGTGTGTGTGTGTGTGTGTAGTGTCAGATCTGATCACATGCTCCTGCCGTTGGTTAGTTTGGAGTAGAGACGGTAGTCCTGGTCGAGTCGGGACGGCTACATACGGGTGTGCTTCAACCCTCCTGTCCAAAGTCCTCTGTGAACTTCTTGACCTTCAGCAGGTCTTCTGTGTTGACGGTTGGCCGGGTCGTGGCCAGAGAACGCAGCATATCAGACTACATCAAAACACACACACACACACACAGTCATTCACATAGAGAACATGCTGTGAACAGCAGCGGGAAGCACTTTCAAACCAACTCAACTGCTTTGCAAAATGATTCAGTTATGAAGCATTGAAAACAGCACACGCTAGTGACACCTGGTGGCCAAAACTGTGTAAATGCAACAAAACCTCAGGCAGAACATGCATTAGATTTGACTCTTTCATAAATATTGCAACCTGAGAACTTTAAGTATAACCTATAAATGCACTAAGCGTATTATCTAATATTATTCAATGACTGCATAATGTGTTTATCTCAAGCTTATATATTTAAGAGTTTATTAATTTTTTGTTTTTTTCATTTTACAAATGCCTCGTTCAAAATGTCTACAAACTCATTAAGCAGATCTGGTAATAGCTATGAAAGCTGATTTGCCACTGAAGGCGATCTGTATGAAAACGTGGATTTTTATATGTCTTGATCGCCCCAGTGGAAAAGCATTGCATGTTTGCAACATTTTGAAATAATTATAATGCAGCAAAATTAAATGGAGTATATATATATATATATATACATGCACTACACAGTTGTAAGAGTAACAAATAATTTGACTTCTAGTTGATCATTTGTAAAAGTGGCAGATGGTGGATTTTTCTGCTGAATCATCTGTTAATCTGCATCCCAATCATCACAAATACTGCACAAGACTTACTGGAACCAGCATGAACCAAATATTCTCACAGAAATCAGTCAAGTTTGGTGAAGGAATAATCATGGTTTGGGGTTACATTCGGTATGGGGGTGTACGAGAGATCTGCAACATCATCAGCCTGAGATAAAGACATTTGTGCTGCCTGTTACATTACAAACCACAGGAGAGGGCCAATTCTCCAGCAGGATAGCGCTCCTCATACTTCAGCCTCCACATCAAAGCTCCTGAAAGCAAAGAAGGTCAAGCTGCTGCAGGATTGGCCAGCCCAGTCACCAGACAATATAGAGCATGTCTGGGGTAAGATGGAGGTGTTGAAGATGAATCTAAAGACTCTTGATGAACTCTGGGAGTCCTGCAGGAACGCTTTCTTTGTCATTCCAGATGACTTTATTAATCAGTGATTTGAGTCAGAGATGTATGGATGCAGTCCACCAAGCTCATGATGGAGTCAGACACAATATTCATTCTGTCTCCACTGCAGCAGGACTTTATATTCTATACTGGACATTATTTCTGTTCAGTCACAAGACTTTTGTTTAAGCAAAGTCAGACCCTACTGTCCTAATTATTCATTCATTCATCTTCTGCCACTTTTCCGGGGCCGGGTCGAGGGGGCAGCAGTCTTAGGAGAGAACCCCAGACTTTCCTATCCCCAGACACTTCCTCAAGCTCCTCCGGGGGGATCCCGAGGCGTTCCCAGGCCAGCCGGGAGACATAGTCCCTCCAGCTTATCCTGGGTCTTCCCCGAGGCCGCCTCCCGGTGGGACATGCCTGGAACACCTACCTAGGTAGGCATCCAGGAGGCATCCGAAACAGATGCCCGAGCCACCTCAGCTGACCTCTCTTGATGTGGAGGAGCAGCGACTCTACCCCGAGCTCCAACCGGGTGTCAGAGCTCCTCACCCTATCCATAACAGTACGCCCTGCCACTCTTCGAAGGAAACTCATTTCGGCCACTTGTATCCGAGATCTTGTCCTTTCGGTCATGATCCAAAGCTCATGACCATAGGTGATGGTAGGAACGTAGATTGACCGGTAAATTGAGAGCTTTGCCTTTCGGCTCAGCTCCTTCTTCACCACAACGGACCGATACATCGACCGCATTACTGCTGCCGCTGCACCAATCCGCCTGTCAATCTCACGTTCCATCCTTCCCTCACTCGTGAACAAAACCCCGAGATACTTAAACTCCTCCACCTGGCGTAAGGACTTTCCTCCAACCTGGAGGTGGCAAACCACCTTTTTCCGGTGGAGCACCATGGCCTCGGACTTGGGGGTGCTGATTCTCATCCCAGCCGCGTCACACTCGGCAGCAAACCGCCCCAGTGCATGCTGAAGGTCCATGTCTGATGAAGCCAACAGAACAACATCGTCTGCGAATAACAGAGATGAAATCTTGTGGTCCCCATACCGGACCCCCTCCAGCCCAAGGCTGCGCCTTGAAATTCTGTCCATAAAAATTATGAACAGAATTGGTGACAAGGGGCAGCCCTGCCAGAGTCCAACATGCACTGGGAACAAATCTGACTTATTGCCGGCAATGCGAACCAGACTCCTACTCTGTTCATACAGGGACGAGACGGCCCTCAACAGATCGCCTCTGACCCCATACTCCCCGAGCACCCTCCACAGAATGCCTCGAGGGACACAATCGATTGCCTTCTCCAAGTCCACAAAACACATGTAAACTTGTTGAGCATCCCGAGAACCTTCGAGCACCCTGGTGAGGGTATAGAGCTGGTCCAGTGTACCACAGCCCAGACGAAAACCACATTGTTCCTCCTGGATCCCCGGTTCAACCATTGGCCCCTGGCATAGACTTTCCCCAGGAGGCTGAGGAGTGTGATCCCCCTATAGTTGGAGCACACCCTCCGGTCTCCCTACTTAAAAATGGGAACCACCACCCCAGTTCCCCAGTCCTAAGGTACTGTCCCCGACCTCCATGTGATGTTGTAAAGACGTGTCAGTCACGACAGCCCCACAACATCCAGAGACCTAAGAATCTCATCCACCCCTGCTGCTTTGCCACTGTGGAGCTTGCAAACTACCTCAGTGACCTCAGCTTGGGTGATCAGCTGTCTCGGGAGTCCTGCAAGCCAACCAAGCTCTGTAGGACTCCTTCTTTAGCTTGACGGCATCCCTTACTTCCGGTGTCCACCACCAGGTTCGGGAATTGCCGCCCCGACAGGCTCCACAGACCTTACGATCACAACTCCTCACGGCCGAGTTAACACAGTGTCCTAATTAAAGAATTAAAAACCAAGGCATGATCATATTTTATTTTGGTAAAATAAGAGTAATCTAGAGGCCTTTACCTTTCATATAAGCCACTTCTGATACCAAATGATCAACTAGAAGTCAAGGTATTATTATTTGCTGTTCCTAAAACTAAAATTTGGATAGTCGACAGGACTTTTGTCAGGTAGTGTACATTATTATTATGTTGTTAATTTGTGTGTGTGTGTGTGTGTGTGTCTGTGTGTGTGTGATTTGTTAATGGAAAAGAGTGTCCACATATGTATACAGCAAATTTTAGCTCTTAAGTGGCTGTTTTAAACACTTTGAATGTTTTATATTTTGGTACAGAATATTTTCGCAGCATATGAAACGTCCCAAACACTATTTTTAACTGTCCAAAATGGGGGGGAAATGTTGTTTTTACTCTCTGATAGTCAAAACATGTTCATAAAATGTGTTATATATGCATTACAACACAGTCAGGAAAACATGTTTTATGTAAATTGGGACCACGATTCCACATATACTGACATCATTTTCTCTAAAAGCACATCATATCAAAAGATAACACTTAGGTTCCAACAAGCCCAAATAGCAAAGAGAAATAAATAATTCATGTAAAAAAACACTTTGGGCCTTAAGAGGTTAAATTGATTTCCGCACAGTCAGCCATCACTCAGAATAAAATACTTTTTAACCAAAGTAAAATATGAAGAATATTATAAAATAAATGTTTGTTTCTTGTTAAGCGAATGTCTTTTTTAATGCCGTTATCCTGATAATACTGTATAATACATACTTCTATTAAAGATCATTTTTGATTTTACAAAGCAAAACTCTTATGATTTCTGGTAGTTTTGTAACACTAAACCAAAATCAAAAACATTCAGAGTAACATGATGCCAAATATCGTTGAGGACATTGTGAAATAGCTGCTATTGACCTTATTTTTCAATGTGGACATGCGATTTTTTTTTGCGGTTGTTTAAGAAGTTCCGATTCAGCTGCCTACTGGAGAAATGACTAGCAATAATAAACTGCAGAAAAGGGTCAAACTACTCGCTCTATAAACAAGTATTAGCATGAGTATACATAGAAAGCAGAATAATATAATAACACCAAGCAGCAGAACGAGCTGTTTTAATGTCTAAAAGTGATAAAAGCGCAAGTCTCGAGCCAAAAAGATTCAAATGGTTGCGAAGAATAAGGTGAATAATAATGCAGCAGAGCTGATCGTGATCCTCGATATCTCACCATGCACACGATGGGCTCCAGCAGTTTGTCTCCAGGCACGTCCATCCAGGTCATCTCGATGGCCTCGGGGTCACCGGGTGAACACGGGGTCAGCAGGTCATCCACTATCACTGCACTGTTACTGCGGGACGGCCCTCGAACCTGAACCACAACAGCACAGCAACACATTAAGCGGCACCTATGGTGAAAAATCTACTTTTCAAGCTGTTTGGACAGACGTGTGTGTAGGTACAGTGAATAGACCGTCATATTGGGGTGATATAAACACACAGTCCTTTTTTTTTTTTTTAATTTAACAACATAAAAACGGTGGACCAATTGGAGCGGTTTTTAGATCGACCGCAACTTGACGTAGCAGTGCGGTCCCCCCGCCCACTAATATTGATTGACAGGCACGCGTCACCATATCCTCAGTTTGTTGTTTCATGTCCGCCATTTTCAGCGTGTGAGTCAAAGTGATGTCACTAGAGCAGGGGTGCTCAATCCTGTTCCTGGAGATCTACCTTCCTGCACAGTTTAGCTCCTACCCTGATCAAACCCACCTGAACCAATTAATTAGGACCTGAAATCCACTTCATAATTACAGACAGGTGTGTTTGATAAGGGTTGCAACTGAAATCTGCAGGAAGGTAGATCTCCAGGAACAGGATTGGCCACCCCTGCACTAGAGGAACACCCTTGCTCTATTTTTGGATGCAAGGCTCATTGGGTTCAACACAAGATCAGCATTCCCCACATGATCGCTCTCATTGGAATTATTGGTTGTAACAGTTTGTTTGTAGTAGGTTTACAAACTAGTGTACTTTTCGCCCAGCCACAATTCAGGACACTTCATATTTCTGCCGCACCATCTGCATAGTTGCATTTTAAATAACATGCGAATGTGTGTGTCTTGTGTGCCGTGTCGCAGCTCTAAGCGGGTCATCCGGTGCCTTAGTCGAAGTTTTTTCAGTGTGTGCGGTTATTAGTCTAAGTGTACAAGCTAAGCACTTGAAACTAGCACACAGTTGGCTGTAAAACTATACAGACACATGATTGTGTACTCTCTGCTTGGTCTGTGTCCGAGTCGTACATGTACGGCTGAATGCTGGTCCTCTCACTCATGCTGCTTCTCTCTGTCTGCCTGTCTGTTGCTAAACACAGTGCGGGGGAGCTCTTGGCTCCGCCCCTTTGTTACGTTGGGCCGGAATTTGAAACTAATTTTAATGTGAAGCAACACGCCCCTAAAACAGCGAGCTGTGTACATGCCCCCAAAATAACACTTTTTAACACATTATAATCAAAAAATCGGAACTGTGTGTTGAACTAAACCTAAACTGACACACTCAGAAGAACCAGAATATTCATATTAACTCAAAAATAAGGGGTGAACTATGTGCCCTTTAAAGCAAACTGCTACTGCTTCACTGGTGTCCACTAGGAGGCGTTCACACTACAACGTTTTTCATTCATTCATTTTCTTGTCGGCTTAGTCCCTTTATTAATCCGGGGTCACCACAGCGGAATGAACCACCAACTTATCCAGCAAGTTTTTATGCAGTTTATGCCCTTCCAGCCGCAACCCATCTCTGGGAAACATTCACACACACACTCATACACTACGGACAATTCACCTGTACCGCATGTCTTTGGATTGTGGGGGAAACCGGAGCCCCCGGAGGAAACCCACGCGAAGGCAGGGAGAACATGCAAACTCCACACAGAAACGCCAACTGAGCCGAGGTTCGAACCAGCAACCTTCTTGCTGTGAGGCGTCAGCACTACCTACTGTGCCACTACCTCACTACACTACAAAGTTTGGAAATGAAATGGATATGTTTTACGCATGTTAAGAGAGCCTCTGACTACAACCTCACTGTTTGTGAACATCAAAATCACTATTTTGTGAAAATGGTGGCGACGTTGTCTGCGTTTATTCATGTTCGGTCAGTAAGTGCGAGTAACTTTTTGGAAGTTTTCGCCAATCAGTGTGAACAGGAGTCAGTGTTGCCAAATGTACATGTTTTAGTGCATTGTGTAAACATTATTGTGCCCTTAGTTCGATCTTTTCGATACGTTGCCAGGATCTGGCCACCCCTAGATGGCAGTGTTTACCTTCTTGAAGTGCGTGGCCGACTGCACCTTCCTGACGGGCTGCATGAGCGCGTCCCGCACGATGATGCTGATATCGGCTCCTGAGTATCCGTCAGTCTTGCGTGCGAGCTGCCGCAGGTCTGCCTCCGTCAGGCTGTGAGGAGTGTTTCCCAGATGAAGGCGAAACATGGCCGATCGCGCCGGCTCCTCTGGAAGAGGGATGTAGATGCGCTTCTCGAACCTGCATCAAACGATACGACACGTTAGCACACAATCACAATAACCTGTAGGATTTAAAGCGGCTCTCACACTGACCTCCTGCGAATAGCAGCATCAAGGACCCACGGGATGTTAGTGGCACCGAGAACTAAGATCCCGTCGTTGTTATTACCAACACCTGCCAAAGAGAAATGGAGAAAACCATCAGACAATCTCAGGAATATTCATGTAGGACTGGCTGATTAAACAATGACAATAAAGAGACTTTTAATTTTCATTAACCTAGATGGGTCTAGTCCCTGATTCTGATTGGTTGAGTAATTTATCAATATATACACAAACACGCACACACATACAGACACAAACAATGGTACTCTTGCAAACAACAAATACAAATAGACAAACACACAGATACACAAAGTGACTTACCAACAAAAACAACACAAAAACACACACGAAAGCACACACAAATGCAAAAACAGACAAACAACACAAAAATACACACATAGTTATGCACACACAGGATCACAATACATTTAAATACTGACTCGAACAAGGGGACTCAACGATACAAACACAACACACACCCACAAATACACACACACACTACATACAATTACTGACACAAACAGGGGGACTTACCAACAAACACAGAAAAAACACACACAAAAACATGGGATCACACAAACACAAATATAGACACAAACAAGGAGACTCACCGACAAACAACACAAAATACACACACAAACAAACATAAGATCACACAAACACACAAATATAGACTCACCAATAAATACAACACAAAAAACGCACACACACACACTACATACAATTACTGACACAAACAAGGAGACTCACCAACACACAAAATACACACACACAAACATGGGATCACACAAACACAAATATAGACACAAACTAGGGGACTCACCGACAAACAACACAAAATACACACAAACACAAACATAAAATCACACAAACACACAAATATAGACACAAACAAGGGGACTCACCAATAAACACAACAAAAAAAAACACACAAACAATTACTGATACAAACAAGGAGACTCACCAACACACAAAATACACACACACAAACATG